AACGGCATAAGCTTGATTTAAAAAAAATAATAATTGAATGTGAGAACTTCAGGGGGTGGTGGGGGGAAGCATGGGTTATACTAATAGAAACCACTCCCATTCTTTGTGCCTGATACTGTGTGGTGGGCTGCTGCAAGTGGCTTTTTGCATGAGTCTTACAAATTCATTTGCAAATTTTCATATTATTTCAAATGGGTTTCTTTCTGTTGTAGTGTTAGGAGAGCCCAAAGAACCAAGGATGTTCAGTAATACTCTTGCCCATGGTAAAACAGCTTAAAATTATTTTTTTTTAAAAAAATCAATATATAGCGCAACATGGCGTTCATGCAAAAATCCAGAAACCTAGTAAATGCCTTCAACTTCTGAGTAACCTGTGTATTGCATTGCTGCTGCTTTTTAGAAATGCTGATTGTGTCAGTCAGGATACTGTTTGGCCTGATGTATTGCAGTGGTCAGTACCTCTGCGGAAGATCAATTTAGTCTGAAATGAGGCTCATACCAAGAGGTGAAGTAGTCGTGGTGTGAGGGAATACATGTGCTTCACTGTGGCTGTAAAGTACAGATCAAGATAGGTCAGCCATCAGTATTAATTGAGGTTTGTCAGAAGACCAAAACCAGATTGAGTAATTTCTCATACTGCTCTTTGAGATAATGTAATACTTACGTGCTGCGCTTCATATGTGTATAATCTTACTTTTGTACTCTGTAATCTGAAAATACTTGGTAGGGGAACCAGTAAAGGGAAGCAAGTTGTTCACATCTTCAACCATGTTTTTAAGAACTCTCCCTGTATTGTAAGAAGGAAACATTGTGTTATTGTACGAGTCCTTGAAGGCTGACTGAACTGTCTCTAATTCTGTTGTGTGCCTTCTGAGGTTGATGTCAAGATGAATTATTTAAATTACCTACTTGGCTTTGGCTGATTATTACCTTCCTCTCAATCACAGTTGACCTTTTTCGTTCCACTGGTGCAGAAGTGCTGCTTTCAGCATCTGTATGTGAATGTAAGTACATTATGCAGCTACTTTGTATGCAGACTAATAGCAAACTTAGGTACCTACTGCAAGTGTTTTCATCCTGTTGGGTATGGTAGCTCTCCTGTGGTGCAAGCAGGTCATTTGATGTTGACCTTGCCAGTCAACCTGCTTTTTCAGTTCTAATTATATTGTGGGAGGTGTAGGGGAAGAGTTTTTGTCTATATGAATACATTGCTTGGGCTTATTTTCTAGATCAGTGGCTTGAAATGTAGAGTAACAGTAGAATACATCCTGTAACCTCCCTGTGTGTGTGTGGTGGCCTAAGCTTTGTGAGGAAGAACCAAACGTGATAATTGCTTGAGCAGCTCTTAAAAGTGGGAGATGATTCACACATACACAGACAGCCCCCCTGTCTCCAGAGCTAGGTTTTAACCAGAAGAAATAGGAAAAGAAATCAATGCAAGTGTCTGTGGTTTTGGTTTTATTTTTTTTAAAGTGGAACTGCAATTTACCTAAGCTGTGCATTCAGCATGTACTAGTTGGTGGGTTTTTTTGTTTGGCTTTGGTTTTTTTTAGTAAATGTCTTCCCTTAGTTGTGCAGGAGCAGTTTTCAATGTGTGATTATGCAGTGTGGGAACATAAGAGGCAAACAATAAATGAGACTTTTAAAAAAAGCAACTTGGTAAAATGTGTTCATTTTGAAAAATATTTTTAATGGGGGAATATTTAGTGTTTGTAAAAAAAAGGAAAAGCTCAGCTAAAACTTATTTTTACAAGGCATCAGAAATGGCTGACTGGCAGCCTAGCATTGACAGTTACTTCTTTACAAGTGTCATTTCTCATTTACCATTTTGTACAAGGTTTATTGAATATACTGAGACAGTTTGGTGTTGGTGGCATGGTGGAAGGACTGTTGTGAATACAACAATAGCCAGTTTCCCCTTCAGAAAATACTAGAGTATAGAAAAATGGTAAGCTGGGAAAACCAGCTGTTGTGGCATTCTTGAGCAGTTAGTTGTATTATCTTGTTCAAAATAGCTTCAGAGGAAAGAGACGTCGTAGCAATGATGAAAGGAAATGATGGGGAGTTTCTTCCCCAATGAGAATAAGGCCCTTATCTCACATTGTGAAGAAAATCTCTGCAAGGTTTAAGCAAGTCTTCATGGCAGATGTTTGCAGAAAAGTGTAGGTGTCAGGTATTGTGGTTTTGAACAAATCGGAACTAATTTTACTGCGTTTATCCACTTCATAGCCCTCTCGGATTTTTGGTGGATTTTTATGGGACAAATAGTTTTATATGGGCTGATTTTCATTTCCAGTCTGTGCATGTTTGGAAATACTCAGTTGTCAGCAAGATCCATGATCTTTCATGTTGAGGAATCCAAGTGTGCTTTCTTTTTAGAAAGTCAGATTGTCTCTTCAACAACAGTTATTTCTTCGGTACAGCTGTTTATGAATACATGTGCATATTCTGTCTAAAGAGAGAGAAAATTCTGTAACATACAATAACTTGCAGGGCAGCTGATGATCAGAGAACTTCTATGTCTAGCAGTGCCAAGGGCATGTTCTCTTGCTGTTTTAATATCTAAGAAATATGTGCAAAGGAGGGGCAAACAGTTAAAGGTTGACTTCTCACACGTATGATCAGTGCTAGCTATTTGTCAGCTAAAGGAAAAAGATTAAAAGTTTATTTAAATGCTGGACTACTCTTGACACAATAGAATAAATGTATTCTGTGAGTATTGCCAGTTTTCAGTATGTAGGCATTAACGGGATTTGAAGAGGAAGCACTTTGCATGCTATCATACAGTTTTACATTTGTTAACTTGGAGTTCTATGAGAGTGGAAGTTGCTGTGTGAGAGCATAGTACTGATCTGGGGCTTGGGACTTAAAATACTGGGGGAAGATAAATTTAATTCTAAAAATAGAAAGGGTAGTACTGGAAAAAAAAAACCTAAAGGGGGGGGGAAAAAAGCAAGCTTGCTGTTATAGTGAAAGGTATGTTACAGAACACTAGAGTAGGGTGTCCTGGTGGGGTATTTAGCTAGGAAGTCTGGGACTGGTACGAGCTTTGTGGTCATGGTGTTTTGTAATAGTGTGTGTAGTGGTGTTTGTCATGGCCATCCACTGAGTAAAGCCGTGCACCTGCACACAAAATGTGTCCTGGAAGTTCTCTGAGTATATGTAATTCAGCAGAAGAAACCAAAGTATTAAAAGTAATTCTGAGTGAGAATGAGGAAAGCACTTGGGTGAAAGAAGATGGGCAAAATAAAACGGATGAGGGAGATGCAAGTTGCCTGATGCTCTGAGTGAATGTGTTGCTAGGGTATTTCCCACAGCTTTTAGGAAAACTTGTGGTTATTTAATAGGAATGTTAAGAATTCAAGTGCAAACTCAGTGCAAAAAGGCCGGGCACTTGTAAATCACTATTATTTTTTTTTGTGATTAAGGAAAGTTGTATTGTAAACCAAGACAAATTATGAAATGCAAAAGGTTGTTAAATTGGGGGAAAAAAAGGAAATGCCAGCTTTAAAAAGGTGTGAGTAGCAAAGGACACTAAGGTTTCAAAATGGCACAGTAAATGCCAGGAGGAGAGGGCTCTGGTATTCAGTGGAGGAGGCCTCTCCTGAGAACCCCTGTGCTTTATTATCCACCTTGAAGAATTTCAGCACTCAATCAGTGTTAAAAATACCTGAGATTGGAGAGGAAAGATAGAACTAGGATTAAAGACTAGATTGAAATGGACAAAGAAGAGTCTAGGAACTGTTTAGACACATCAGAGAGATTGAAATTATCTTCATGATGCCTGCTGGCAAGCATGAGGCAATCTGAGTTGAGGGCTTTGCTTGAGCTTTGATGCATAGAAGTGCCCAACACTCCCAGGTCCTTTTCTTCTGGGCAGCTTTCCAGCCACTTCCCCAAGCCTGTAGTCTTGTATGGGTTTGTTGTGGCTCAAGTGCAGGACCTGATGCTTGGCCTTGTTGAACCTCTTAAAATTGGCTTCAGCTCATTGATACAGCCTGTTCAGATCACTCTGTATATCCTTCCTACCCTCAGGCAGATCAACACTTCCTCCTGACTTGGTGTCATTTGCAAGCTCATACAAGGTGCTTTTTATTCCCTTGTCCATTGATAAAGGTACTGAAGAGAACTGGCCCCAACACTGAGCTCTGGTGAATACCACTTGCGACTGGCCACCAGGTGGATTTAACTCCATTAACCAAAACTCTTTGGGCCCAGTCATCTGTGGGACCTCTCCAAGCCATGAGCAGCCAGTTTCTTCAGGAAAATGCTGCAGGCAACTGTGCTGAAGTCTTTTACTGAAGTCCAGGTAGACAACCTCCACAGCCTTTCCCTCATCCACTAAGCGGGTCACCATGTCATAGGAGGAGATCAGGTTAGTAAAGCAAAACTTCCATGAACCCATGTTGGCTGTGTCTGATCACCTGGTTGTCCTGCATGTGCTGCATCACAGCGCTCAATATGATCTGCTCCATAACCTTCCCCAGCACTGAGGTCAGAATGACAGATCTGTCATTCCCTGGATGCTCCTTCTGGCCCTTCTTGTAGATGGGAAGATAGGCAGCTATGAGACAACCTGTATATCTTATGACTTAAGTTATTTAAGGAAAATCATCCAAGTGACATTGCTACCTGCCTTCTGTTAAAGGTAGGTAGGACCAAAGACAACTAAGTCAACAACAACGCACTGGTATATAGTTACCAAAACTGGAAAGTATTAGCAGTAATAGCTTAGAGGATTCTTTTAAAAGAATTGGTAGAAAATATCTGTGAGGATTTTTGAAAGCCTCTTTGAAAGGATGGTTTTGCCCACTGAAGTATTATAGACTATGAACAGCTAACCTGGTTTGTTGACTTAAAGTACAGCTTTGCTTTAGCCAGCTGCTACAAAGCATTGGGTCACTGTGCAGGCACTCTGCGAACCACTGTTCAAACAGACAAATTAGAAACATGAGTGGGGTGAAGTTTGGTTGTTTTGACGTGGGGAATGATGGGAGGATTTAGGTGCTGTTGACAATGTGCAAGTGTGTAAGATACTGTAAACAGGAAAGGAATAAGGATAGGAAGTAATGGACTTTAAGTGCAGTAAAAGAGGCTATTAAAGGTTTCTAAAAGTAAGGATAATTAAGCATTACAATAGCCTTCATGGGGAGGCTACAGGATATTAGTTGAACACAGTCTGCACAGGACATCAAAACTGTCATAACTAATCCTCTGCTGAAGCAGAAAGGAAAGCTGGGTAAGCTGATGAGACATTCCAGCCCTGCTTTTTGTGATTCAGTACACCAGTGTTTTTGCATAGTGTAGGTCAGGCTTGCAAAAATATGTATTTGCATTATATTATGGTCACTCGAATTTAAAAATGCTGATGGCAAATGCTTCCTCACTTTGGTCATTTTCAAAGGATGAACAGCAACCCAGCAAAACTGGTACATGCAGAAATTACTGGTTTCAGTAAAAGTGATAACTTTAGTCTTAAAATAAAGCTGCAAATACAGAATAATCACTAGTCTTGGCAGTGGCTGAGAGCATTTCTAGTCTCAAAACCATACTTATCACAGAGCAAATTAGTTTTTAATGGACCAAATTTGACTCTCCTCTTAATATGCCATTTCTTCTAGTCTTTGGCCTATCATGTTTTATAGTCAATAAATTTGTCTAATTTGGAAAGAAAGCATACCTGGATACCTTCAGCAGTTGATATGTTGAATTTGTCTCTTGGTTGTGGAATGGAAGAATTGCTTTTGAAACTGCAATACCTTTGGGTACAAAAGGAAATGATGAAGAAATTTTAAATACTGCTAACATAACTTAAAACATTTTGTGCTATACCTTAATGAAGTTTTAGTACTTTCAGGATTGAATGCCTATTGCTCTACAAATCACTAAGTGAGAAGGAAAATGTTTTGAGTGTAGATTGGTGGGTAACTACTATTATACTTATCACTTCAGTAATGAGAATCACAAGAAATACTTGAGTAAATAATGACTTTCAATAAATCACGTGACAGAACTTTCTTCCACCACTATGTGAGTTTTTCAAAATAATGACACATTCATTTGTCCTGATTTCCTCTTGTCTGATACTGTGTGAAGCTAATGGCTTCAATGCAACATGAATGTTTAATGCTTAAAATGAGGAACAGAAGAGTTATTGCAGGACCTAGAGGAATCAGTCCCTTACTAACTTGAACATCCTTTCCCCTTTTTTACCTGTAGTGATTTTACATGTCAGAGTGGCATCCACAACAGCACTGGAATAATATTCTGTGGCATAAATAATCAAATTGCTTAAGTTTGTAGGTGGCAAGGTAGGATACAGGAGAAATTTATTTCATAGAAATAATACTGGATGGATAGTTTCTACATCAATAAGGTTGATTTACCTTTTGAAAAGACAATATTGAAGCAGTGTCACTGAGATTGTTCCAAGGCCTATCAGAAATAAAATCACAATAAAGTAATCTTGCTCTTGACCTGAAACATTCAAGAGAGAGAAAGGTCGTAGCATGCAAAAAAGCCACCTTTGTGATTGTCAGTAATGAATGCAGATTTCACCTCATTTTTTAAAAATAATCTGAAGGATTTGACTTCATACAGAACCTTTATGAAAAGTTCAGGTACCTTCAGCACATTTAAAACCATTTCAAACATCTAAAATTTAGAGAATTAAAAAAAAAAAACAACAAACTGACAAAATCCAGAAAAGGAGAAGAAACAGAGTCACAGAACAAATAACAGAGCAAAACTGTTGGAACTATAAAAAGAGTGTTGAGGAAAGGGTGAAAAGGAAGCTGTGGAAGGAAGGGGATGATATTCGGACCAAAGACAAGACTAAGTCTATCCCAGCCTGTTCCTGTAGCCCCAGCATCTGAGGAACTGCTGCCTTCACAATCCCAACGAATCAAAGGCTGGTTTTAGCCTCCATTGCCATAGCACTGGAGCTTCTCCTCCCCATGGAAAATTTACAAACAGGGTAATACTGAGAAAAAAAAAAAAGTACTGAAATAATACTTCACAGTCTTACCAAACTCAATGGGTTCACTCCATTCCCACTTCACAACTTCACAACTTCACAACTTACCAAACTCAATGGGTTCACTCCATTCCCCCCAGTTTGAGCTTAAGAGACAGCTTTTTCCACGTGCCCTGATTTTCAGGATGTATTTTTTTTTCTCATTGTAACTTTGCATTTCATATGTGTTGTTCCTTACCTAAAATCAAAGCAATCAAACTGTGCATTTCACCCCATTGGCAAATATTAATACAATTTGTGTTTTCATATCATCTGGCCTCATGATACCTTATACAAAGTCTGGAATTTGCCAAGCCTAAGATGCTTCCAAGGCCAAGGGGAGCACTCACTTGTCAGGGGAAAACTGATGGTGTGTATTATCTTTCACAGGTTTTGAAGATTGCAGAGTTCTCTCTATCTGTCCTGAACTACAGTGGTATTTTTCCACCAATGGATATGAGAAAGAGAATGTTTCAATTTTTTATTTTTTTTTAAGCAAAATGTATTCGTGCAATAAATGGAAAGTCTGAAGTTTTGTGAAATGCATGGAAAATTCTGCCTAGTGTAAACTACACCATACAAAAGAGAAGTATTAAATTTACACCCAAAGATAGCCCAGGAACATACTTTGCTGAATTCTTGTTGACACATTGATAGTTCTATGTAGTTCTAGAAGTAACTGTCTTTTTTATAATGGTATTTATATGCTTAAGAGGGAAAAAGCTTAAATTTATATATGACAAAAATACTTACACAAGGATACTTTTTCTCTTCTGTGGGCTGATCCTGCAAACCAAAGACAAATATTCATTTTCATTATTTTCTTGTCAAAGATTACAATATTTCTCCCTCATTTGTTCTCATTTTCTTGCTTATAAAGACATAAGTAGTTTTAAATTGAATGGTCAGTTGGATATTCTGCTCCAGTAATGTCCTAGAATATAGCACTTGAGATGGAGGAAGCCAAAACCTTATTTAATTTTAGAAAAGGCAGGAAACATGAGTGATACCAGTGGTTGTGAGAAGCTGTTTTTACCTCTGAGGGCATATTTACACTGTGCATTCTCATCCAGCAGAAGTATATCCAAATTACCCAAGCAATCAAATTATCCTCCAAACACAGTGGATCTGGAAATTGCAATTTCACAATAGTTTGAGAACATGGAACAGGAAAATTGGTGTGAGCAGCAAATTTACCCTCCTTCCAGTCAAAATCTCTGTTAGACATCTAAGTGATCCATAATCAGGAATTTCCCCAAAGTACTGTGAAGAGCTACTTACACATCCTATACAGTCAAAATGTAATTAACTAGAATCAAACATTGACCTGGATCAAAGAACCTGAAATTTTTAAGAAAAGGATAGGTTCAAAACTGAGTGAAGAAAATCAACAGCAGTGATTTCAGCAGCTAAGATTAATTTCACACCCAAATGCAGGAGTCATGATCCCAGAAAGCTGAAAAACTGAGGTCCTGGAAACATCTGTCACATGCAATGTCAAAAGGATAGCTGCCATTATGGAAAAGTCAGATGTTACTGGAAGGAATGTCTCATTTCAGAAAATACACTCTGGCACATATGTTGCATTATGAAGTAGACTAGTATTTCCCCATTACTTTTTGTCAGCTGAGCTCTTTCAGCTTGCAGAAGAGACCTATCAAGCTGGTGAAGAGTCTGGAGAACAAGTCATACAAGGAGCAGCTGAGGGAACTGGGAATCTTTAGTTTGAAGAAGGAGAGGCTAAGGGAAGACCTCACTGCCCTTAGGAAAGGAGGTTGTAGGGAGGTGGGTGTCTGCCTTTCCTCTCAAGTGAATAACAGGACCAAAGGAAATGGCCTGAAGTTGCAGCAGAGGAGGTTTAGCTTGGATATTAGGAAGAATTTCTTCACCGAAAGAGTGGTCAGGCAGCGGAGCAGCCTGCCCAGGGAGGTGGTGGAGTCACCATCCTTGGAGGTATTCAAGAAACATGTAGATGTGACACTTCAGGGAATGCTCTAGTGGCCAAGGTTGTGGGCTTTTTTGCGAGTGTTTTTTTGGTGGATTGTGTGTGTTTTGTTTGGTTGGGTATTTTTGTGTTGATGGTTGGACTCGGTGATCTCAGAGGACCTTTCCAGCCATGACAATTCTGTGATTCTGTGAACTTAGGACATGTTGGAAGTCATCAGCCCATGCTGTGAATGGAGAGGATGCAAATGATGTCCTTAAGCTTTAGGTGTGCAGTGCCATTTTAGCTGCCCTGCTTCTGCTGGCTGCTGCGGAAAGGCCTGAGTTATATCTGCCAACTCTATGGAAGTACCTTTGGTACCTCCAGTATCTGTAGCACCCCAAGGAGAGTGAGCCACCTGCTTAGATGCACGAAGGCCTAGACACGCAATGACTGCTGTGGGGTGTTTGTGCTCCTTGACATATACCTACATTAGGGTGTCTGAGTCTGTAAGATTAATTTCACACCCAAATGCAGGAGTCTACTGATCCACACCCATTCTGTCTGTGGCAAGGGGGAAGAAGAAGTAACGTGTTTATTTAAAATAAACATGTTGATAATATTGCTTTAGTTGTATGTTGGTATCTATGTCTTTATATAAAACATCCTAAGTGTTTCACACAAGATCTTACTGTGTCATTGCAACAGCCAGTGGGGAAGCTCTGTACTGCAATTGCTTCTTGAAATAGCTAACAAGATAGATACTATTAATGTGTGCAAGACACAGAATCCAGACAATCCAAACAGCCTGCAAGCTGAAGGCCTTGTTTTGAATGAGTTTTAATGATGTATGGGTGTATCTCAATTGTATATTTTTGTTTAACCCTTAGCTGCTTTGTCCTGTAATGGTCTTGTGTTAAAAGTGTCTGAGGAATCATCACTGTGTAAGTATCTAAGCTGTGGCTGGGAAAGGGGGTGGGGAGGGAGCACTAATTTGTCACAGCACAGACATCATCCATGTGTGGAAATCATGGGATGGTAAAGCAGGTATCCCAGCACTGGGGAGAAAGAGTGCTATTTCTTGCCTCCTTGTCAAACTCCTGGGCTCAAAGAATGTTCCTGCCCTTTGTCCTTAAGAGTGTTAAAATCAGATCCTTTAGGCACTGAGATTTGTGGAGGAGGATTTGACATCTCAGCTTCTGTGCTCCATCATAGTTGGCAGAAACCAGACCTACCTCTGCTATGGTAAAGTCCATACTGTTGTCCTGCCCTTTTTCTGTGGTTGCTGTGGTACGTTGTCCTACAGCTCTTCCTGTAGCGTCGGAGAAATCCCTGCTTGCTTTTGGCACATACATGTTTACATGTGAGATAGCCAGTTTAGGTTCCTCTCTTGCAGCCAATGGAAATAAAGAAGCACTTTAGGGAAGCCATTTGTCACCTACCTCAGAAGCAGGTTGGTAACACCACATCTGACAGCACAGAGAGCAGAGGATAACTCACTGAAAAGTGAACACATCCATTGTGGATGTTCACCCTGGACCTGTGTGAACTTTCCCCTGAGTATCTATTTTTTTCAGAAGAGTGTCTCTCCTGAAGTACTGGTTTCAAAAAGGAGGTTTTGGCAGCTCTTGGGTAGGCAGGCAGGGGGCAGAGCGATTCAGCCAGGCTCCAGGGGAAGGAAGGACAGTGTCTGAGGGAAGGCTGCAGAAGGGCTGCAGATGGTGTGGTGGAGGAGAGGTGTGAAGGCTGGGAAGAGACTCATACAGTCCCAGTTTCAGTGTGGAAATTGAGGGGCAGCTGTGAACTTCCCAGCACATCCAAAATGCTGTCAGGGTGGTGAAAGCTGACGTGGCCAGAGAAGCAGAAGGAGCATGAGTGGCCCTGGGCTGGGCTGGAGGCTGCCACGGGTGCAGCGGCCTGGCTGCAGATCACAGGCTGCCATCCCTCCATCATCTCTTCTGGGGTGGGCTCACAGAGAGAAAGCATATCAGCTGCTCTGCCAGTCCTTGGACAGAGACCCATCACAACACTTTCCTCCTCTAGTCTGCTTTTCTGCTTTGCACCTCTGATTAGTTTGAAATCATGTCATGGGCAGTGGGATGTGAGACCAGCAGAGCTGGAGCAGGAGGACACCACAGCCTGAGAGAGGATTTAATAAATTAAGGAAACAGAAGTTTGCGACTTATAGATATGCGTAGATTTAGGTACAGTGCCAAATACAAAGCAATAAATGTTTTTTACCTTATTTTGTATGTTAATTTCATACTGGAAACACTTAGCTTTTTCCACATGACTTGTGAGGGGTGGTTGCCATGTAATTATGCAACCCGCTGAGTCTCTAGTACAATTGACTGTGACATTTAATGGAGGAGTGAGTATTTCTGGAAAGAAATTAAATAATTAATGTAGATATTGTCAGTGATCAGCTATGAGTCATGTGTTCATAGCAAAATACATGGGAAGTTGAAGCCACTGATGTACAACTGTGTGCTGCTGATGTTAACAAATGTTATCTGCTAAACAGGAGTAAAATACAGTAGCAACACTTGGCAACATATCACTTCTGTTGTTGGACATCTGAAGTAACCAAAGTTTATATAAAAATAGTCTGAAGGATTTTGTGTAATTCAGCAGTAAAAATTCCCCACATCCTTATTTTATAAAGCAGTATATAAAATAAAAACATTCACATACCAACTGTCAGCTCTAGGTGACACAGAGTGCTTGGTTCCTTCTCAGGGATAAGTGCTCTACTACTCATGCAATAATGAAAATAAAGCTGAAAGAAATTATTGACTTACCAATTTCATACAGTTGAATGTACTCATCATAGAACTGGATCAGGGAGTCTTTGCTAGATCCATTCACCAGGAAGTAAGCTATTTCAGTATCTATCTTCACATTTTGAAATCTACATCCTGTGTTTCTGCCAGTTTCATCTTTCATGTAAAGCTCACACTCCACTGCATCACCATCGTGTCTGTATTTAGCAAGTATTTCAGTTAAACATGGGCAGTGTGATGTGTCAAATGAGCATACAGACTTCCCTAGACTCAAGCAGACTTGCTTACCTTGAGTTCTGCCAGTAGAGAAAGTATTGGGTGTCTTCTGGAGCATCCCTGCCTGCCTGCCAAGTGCAGTTCATGAGGGAAACATTATAAATCACACAGGAGAAATTTTCAATGGCCGACCCATTCATGCCTGCAAACACAGGAATATCCACGATGAGGAAAAATTGTGTGGCTGCTCCAGGCTGGAGGATCTTGGCACATGCTGAGATATTATAGAAACCTGCAACTCCAGCTGATGAATGCTTGGGTTGTGAATGACAGTTGAGAGAATGCTGGACTCTCACCCTATTTTGACTGTCTCATAACTATGAAACCTGGGAGTGGGTAGAACATTCCCACAGGTAAAGGAAGGCACATTGCCTTTTAATGCCATTCTTGGTACTACAGAGAGAACGATTTCTCCTTTTGTAATTAATACCCTGGAATCCAGTCCTGAAGTGTTTACACACAATATTTAAAAAGCTGGGACTTTTAAAAGTAAAGTGGGAGTTTTTTCTGCCCTCTCATCAAATAGCCTTCTGGCTAGTTCTTTCCACCTTGATGTGTGTTGCATTGACTTGATCTCTTCCTTTTCTGGAGCACATTGAAGTGGGAATCTCATTTCTTTGGAATCTCTGTCATGGCTGGGCTGTGCAGATGTGCTCAGACTCCTTCTCTCTTCTCCTTCAGCCAATTTTCTGCTTCTTTCTGTGGCATGCCATAACTTCAGCAAAAGGGTGGAGGCTTCCTCCACTACTTCCTCCATCCCCCTCCAGTGCACGGTATTGAGGACACACTGATGGAAACCTGGGGGAGTCCCCTGGGAAACTTGCATTTTTGGATGCTGGGCCCAGGTGGGGATGAACACCAAAAGGAAGAGATCTGAAGAGGCATTGTGTCCTGGCTTGTGTTTTGGGAGTTACTGTGAGAGTGTTTCCTCAGTCAAGACCCCATGAAGAGATGAGTAGGTAGTAATTTCTCTGCTCAGATATGAGCAATCTGCTGCTCTGATCATGTCTGGCAAGTCTGAAATGCCCCAGTTTTGCACAGCTGCAGGAGCACTCAGGACAGGACAATTTTAGTGAATCCTGAGTTGAGAAGAAGGGGCAAAATGGACTGCAAAAACTTCATTTGGAGTTATGAACCTAGGATCTGCCTAAATCACATTTTAACTCACACTTGGGGCTGGCTCCTCTGTAGCAATTGGCTCAGCTCAATGGGTGCACAACAGCTGAGGGAACCTGCCTGTGTGTGTGTGTGTGTGCATGTGCACGTTGGAGTGCACACTGGGGACAGATGAGGAGATTGCTACATTCCACTCCCCCCCAGCTGTTTATCACCAGCATTTCCTCCTCCCATTTTCTGGTACAGTACCATTTTCTGGTTTTCACTGATCTCCAGGCTGCAGCTTTACCTAGCTCTGTGGTCTGGCTTCTGACAAACTCGCCATCAGCCCAGCAGAAAAGCCTTTCGTAATGAAATAGCCACTAACATCTTCATTTCTAGCAACCAGAACAGTTACTTGAATGCACCCTTAAGCCACTGAAATTTAGTGAGATTTTGGAGCCCTAGGATGAAAGAGAATAGTGCTGTTACTGATACATTTGTAGTAATGCAACTCTTGCAGAATTGTGGAAACATTCATTGCAGAGCAAGTAATTTCAGCAGATCTGCAAAAAACCCCCAGTGTTCCTAACAGAAAATAAAGCAGTTACCTACTGTGTAAGGAATTGTTTTCTAAGGCCCTGTTTATCTTTAAAAGACTGCAAATGGAGAAAACCTTACCCAGATGAGAGACATTACCTCCAGGGATAAAGGTGCAATTTTTTGAGACGTTTGTGTTTGGCACTTCGATTGAAAAGTCTACTCCTTTGTGCAGAGGCAGGTATAGTTCCAGTGGAAACCTGCACAGTGGACTATTCACCTGAAAAAGAACATAGGGATCTTTTATTTTGCTGTTTTTCCACTGTTGGTGGTAGATGATGCTGGCTATGGAAGTGCAAGTCAAGAAACTCAATTTATGTGGCAAAAATCTTGCATATATATATGTACTTACGTACGTATGTGTATCTATGTATGTATCCATGTATGTATGTGTTTCAGGCTCAAGAGCTCTCTCCTTTACCACTTGAGAGTTTTGTACAACACAGCTGAGAGATCAAAATCATAACTACACAACAAGTTTGCAGCTCAGGAGCTGGATGCTGTGCTAGTGTGAAACAACCGGAGAAGGCAAACAGTACACCAGTGACATAACAAATGATCATTAAGTAACAGGGGAACAATAATGGTATTTAATCAAAGGACTAAGCAAACTACAAGTCCTTGTCTGACCTCCTGAGGGATTAAGAAAGGTGTCTGTGGCATTATATTTACAATCTTCAATAAAGATGTGATGTATATTTGTAATATATATTTTTAATAAGGCATGTGCTTAGCTAGGTTAAATAAGACATCTTTCTCTGTCAAGTTTCCTACTTCTTTTTTTTTTTTTTTTTTAAATAATGTGGTCTTATCATATAACCTGGGCTACAGATATGATCAGTTTATTGGGAAACAAATGAAGAACCTGAGCTAATAAAAATCGAGTGAGGTGTCTGGGGAATTAATTTTTTTTTTTTTTAAAGTTCTCTTGTTCTGCCTCTTTAAATACTCTGAGTCTCACTTACTCTCTCACAGCCCCCTTTTTTTTTTTTTTTTTTTCAGTAACTACATCTCTATTCATCATTCAATGTAGGTACAATTCAGGCTATTGCCTCCTTCCCACTTTGGTGCCAGACTTGCAGTTCTCCACTATGCATGGGATGCTCCTCCTGCAGCAAATGCACCCTGGTATTGGTGATGGCTTTCCACAGCCCCTGACAGGTCAAGCTGTAAACTGCAAACATTCACTGGTCAGACCTTACCTGCAACTGATTCATTTCTTCAAAGTAAGTGAAATCAGTAAAAGGTAAAGAAAAAGGTGCAGTAGTTCATTTCTGGAAATCCCAAGTTTACCTCTTCCTGTCCTTCCATGTCCTTGCCCATGAAGGTGCATTTGTACTTTGAAAAAAACTCTCCCAGGAAAGTTCCATTTTGTCCCAATTCATTTTCACATTTGTAATATGTGATTCTTGTGCCTCTGCTGAAAATGTTAGATAATAAGTCCATCAAGGATAAGCTATTGTTTTTGTTGAATGTGGAAGATAGTATCTGTCAGGTTTAAGGTGACAATTTCCAGATTAATAGCAAATCTCTGTGATAAATGAAGAATTATTCCCTATTTCTCAGATTATATCTGCAAAACCATACTTACACTCTATACACTGGATGGCAGCATGCAGGGAATGAAATAGCATCATACACCACCAAACCATGCAAATGAGTCCAAGACTATCAAACATCTTTTCTTCTCTGGAAAGAGTCAACAAAACCTTCAGGGGAAAAAAAAAAATATAAAAATAGTGATGCCAAAGTGTACTTTGGTTTTTGCAAAGCTGCACTTTCTTTTCATGGGAAGACTTAAAGATGCTGTCTAATTCACCCCTAGAAAATATTCTTTAGAAAAGCCAAGCAGTGTGTGTGCTTCAGAATATCTGGCAGGCATCTCTTCTTCAAAAGGAGTAGGTTCACTGCTCTCTATTACAACACAATGTTTTGAGATACAGATCACAGACTCTCATTATGATACATATATTCACTGCATTCAGTGCAGAGCCCATGACTTGGGATCACTGTTGTACCACACTTCTACCCTAGCCATACAATCAGAAAGTCAGGTTTTCTTGCTTTCTGTTCCTGTGAACATCACTGAAGGTTTTCTCATGCAGTGCTCCAGCTTTTGCTGCAAAGTGAGCATTTAGGCCAAGTTTCAGCCATTTGTTGAAGACGTGTTTTGGGAAACGGATAGTTTGGCTTTTGGTTGTGTCACTGTGTGGATGACTCATTTCTCTGTGAGTGCTCTGCCAAAGCACCATCACCACCAGGCACTTCCAGAGCCTGTTCCTGCTCCTGCCAGCATGTCCTAGGATACTTGAGAACCAAACTGTGTAAGCAAAGCAGGAAGAGAAAGGTCTCATT